TTTGACAATGATTTTAACATCTTCTCTTCAAAAGTACGAGGATGTTGTATTATTATTAATGTTTTCCTGGATTCTGGATTATATGTGGTTGATAATATCCAGCTTCTCTACTGAATATATATTTGTTAGATCTTCATAGACTAGGTCTTGATTACTTGAATTATTAGCTTGCATTAGTGATGCTTTTGAAAAGCTATACTAACGCTTTAACAAAATTCCAGAGTCTTATGTTTAATAATAACTAAAAGAAAAGATTATTTTATAACATGAAGTTATTATTGAGACGATATACCTAATGTATGTATTTTGTAACTCACATTTTTGAAAACTGTAACTTATTGGATAACAACCAACACTTTTTAAATTTCCGTGACAACTTATTGCGTTAAAGTGTAACCGAAAACTGATGACTGAAGAACAAAATTGTCTTTATGTCTGTAAATTCGAGAAATTAACCCGGCGGTCTGTCTGTCGGTTGTTCAAGTCAGACGTTTTATTTTATTTAATTTACCAAAAGTTTACAACAAATTTACAATTTATGTGATGTAAATTTGGTGTAAAGATTTAATAATTAAAATCACTTTTTTTTCTTCATAAATATTATGGCATGTTTATGCAATTTTGTGTATAATCGTAATAATTCATTTTTTTGCATAAACTTTTCTTCATGTAATGTCGTCATAAAATTACAGATAATTTTTGTAAATGTATGAATACATGAAATATCGTTCATATGACGTTATATTGCGCTCATACTTATTTAGAAAGAAATTTAGTAAATATGACAGCTATTTTACGTAAATAGTTTGTCGCAAAAATTCAACAACTGGTTTACTGATTTTTAATTCCTAAATTTGATCATTTATTTACTAGTATATATTTTTATTCATTGAATGTAGAACATATGTTTCAAATTTGATCCAAATTTGTTTTCAAAATCGTCTGATCCATTCATGATCATCACGAGTGGCTATCGGGGAAGTAACACCTAATTACTGTAAAGACATCGGCCGTAAGTATAATAAACGGCACGCAGTTACCTATTTCGGCAAAACTAATACGGTGAGAGTAAATTACCAAGTTGTGGAAAAAAGTTTTCGAAAACCAAAAATTACAAAAATCCACCAAGATTAAAAAACATATAACGAATTATGCGTTTTCGAACATTTTGCCTTGTCTGTATAGGTGCACAGGTAAGGCAAATATTTCACCGAACAAAGAAATAATGTATTTCTTTGTACGCATTTCCTAAACTAACCTAAATATGATTTTTATATGACTGAAGGTATTTGTATGAATTTTCTTATACCAAATTGTATTTTTCACAAGAGGATGCCGCCTACTGCGATTGCATGTGACAGAATATTCCTATGTTTATTTTTCAGCTGTATATAAGTACATACGTACCTATTACAAATTTGTATACACTAGTGACAATCTGATAACCGAACATGGGATTGTTTTATTCTATCTTTCGAAAAATCGAATAAAACTTTTAAGTATTTGAGGGGTATTGCGCTTTTTTCAAAAGATATTGAAAGTTGGCTAATCCAACACAGTTTTCAGATAAGCAAGTGACATTTCAGAGACGTTGCTGAAAAAACATACTCCACATGTTCACCAATTAAGCAAAAAGGTCGTGCGACATAAAAAGGAAAATATACCGACGAAGAAATGCGTATTTTCTATGTTCGGTGAATGTTTTCCCTTACCTGTATGTGCTATGCAATAATAGAAGCGGAAATAAGCAAATGTGGGCAGCATACAGACTTTAATTTCTGTGTAACTGTGTAGTTTCCACCTTCGTGTGTCACGTCACGCCACTCACGCTTTACTTTTGTTTTTTACTATCTGAAGCGCCGCTGCGCTTCGCCGTCGCACCGCCACCCACGATTCTGGCTACCAAACGTATTAAAATGTACAGTACCGATAAAAAAATGTTTTGTAAATGAAATCAATAAGAAATAGGCGAGACAGGTTTATAGTACACCTTCTCAGGGATGAAGGGCTAGTCAGAGACATGTTAGAGGCAGAACCAGGAGTTTAAGACGAGCAGAGGTAGACCTAGATTAGATAACTGTTTACAAAAAGTTAAGGATATGGGAAGTGCTGGTTTTAGGGGAATGCGAAGATTAGGATCAGGATGGGAAAGGATGGAGGTTCGTGTCCATCCAATGTTATTAGGACCGACGACTTATGATGATGAAATGGTATGAACCTACCTATGTAACACCTGCATGTACCTAGTACTATATTTGAATTGACAATAACGTACTGTACATGTGTGATTATAAAACATTAATACATACACTATACAATAGCAAATAATGCTTTGGACATATACAAAGGTACGCACTTCTGCGTAGTTATAGATAAATTCATTAGATGTAGTAACACACGTGTACACGTATACATAGAAATCTGTCTATATACGTCTTTGTAAATAGCCTCGTTATACAAGTGCGGCACATCTTCTATAGCGAGCTACTAATTAAGACAAACGTTGTTTGCCTTTTACTTATTGACCTCATCGTCACTATCGCTAACGACGTGCCACAAAAGCCAACATTCCGTAAGAAGCGCCAGGACCGTATTAAGATGAATAAAGAGTTTTATAATCAATGTTCAATAATTAATTTAACATAAATGTTTGTAGGTACATTTTATTGTGTATTTGTATGTACTTATAAATAGATGCATAATGAATGCTGATGTTTTGTTGGAAATAGGCTTATCTAGTTTTTCTGAGAATAAGCAATAAAAAGTACGGTACACTGATGTATGTACTTGGCATCTATTTTATGGACAGAGTGAAAAAAAGATAAAGGTATGTCAACTCAAGTGTAGCGGTAGGAGGTGATCTCGCGTGTTTGGACCTCTGCAGTATTTAATTGAAAGTTGATAAGTTGGTTTAAACGATCGATGCATCTTTACTCAAAGTTTACACACTTAACATTAATAGGTTGGTTTCAAACGTTTAAATGTGGAATTTTTTGGTTACAGAACTCCACTTTATTTTCGTTGAGAATGATTTTAACCAAATACAGTCCTGTACGCTGGTGTAGTATCGCGGTCGTAATAATAAAATGCCGTCGCCGATAGGACGACCGCGGTCGTAGGGTCGTACTGATTGTCTGGCTAGCAGGCGGGCAAGCAGCCAGCCGAGGCCGGAGACGGGTCAGATCTCAGGGCCACGCGTGGTAATCGAGGTGGAGTACGACAACCACAACTAATTATTATAACCGTGATTATAAGTAGCTGCACACATGGAAACATGCTCACGAACATCAAACGTACACGTTGCGTCGCGACGCTCTTTTTTCCTTATTACATTATATTAATCGCAAATCGCAAGTTTATAGTTCGTCGGTATACTTATATGATGGTGGGAGTTGTGGCGTGCCCATGCCCTTTTGTAGGCAGTTTCTGGCGTCGTCATCGTCTTTCTCTTATGAGCCTCCGTTCCCACGGTTTCAGAATGCATCGCCACAAATCAGATACTGCTCGGTGGTTTTACCGCCGAAGACAAGCGACAACACGCGGCCATCTGATACGTTTCTTGTACATTCTTTCTAATTACAGTTATTCACGAGAAGTGTTTTCGGAATGGCTATTCGGTAAATGTAAAATTAAATACACCAGCATCACCGTAAGGTTGGGCTATAGGGCCTACATTTTCATCGGTAAATTGTATTTAAATTGTTTGTTCTGTCTCTTAACGCTACTTACAGGTCGTTTTACAATTAGTTTTAAAATTACTGCGAATGCGTGAACGTGTCTGTGACAATCTGTACATGTTCGGTATGACGGGAACCTAAAAGGATATACATAGGTAGATAGGGATGGGTAATATCTACCTAACGCACAGACACGGACGCAGAGAGCGGTACAACCAACGTCTTTGGAGGTGGCTGTAGTGTAATAATAATAATAATGAAACAACGTTTCCCTCTTTCTTTCAGTCCCTATTTCGTTGTTGTTGCTTTGCGTTATGGTATCTGTTACACATACATATACGTGTACCAATTTAACAATGTACTGTACGTACCTATATGTACATGTGTACATAGCATGAGACGTGAGGCCTGTCGTGTGACCACCCGACGACTTCCACGGTGGCTCTCACGCGAAATCGAAAACTTGTAACTAACGATATGTACAGTGCGTCATCGCTTCTTATTAATTAACAAAATATTAACAAATTGATTTATATATTCTCTATTAAGCATGAAAGTCCTTAACAGAAAGCAAAAGTAACTAGTGACAGTCTGATATTTTGTTAAGATATTTATTTTCATTTATTATTATTTTTTACAGGTATTACTTACCGTTAGGTATAAGATGCGATTATTTGGCAACTATTTTAAAATCAACTGTAATTTTTATAAGTCGCTGATAAAACATGTACCTTACATAACACATACGTACATATATGATGTATGCAGGTACCTAATTGGAATGTTATTTCAGATTACGTACAATATGTAATCGCATTAAACTAGGTACGTACGTACCTAGTTACCTACCACATATCGTACATATGTATGTATAAAAGTTTAGATTTTGGGACACTACCTACTTGGAGATTAAGCGTTTCATATTTATCAATTTTAATGAAGAAAAAAGTGACATTGAAATACTTGATTACTTATCAGTAATAAGAGGAGAAGTGGCAGGTGCGCTTGGCACCCAAAAAATTACAAGTTTGATTTGTATCTACCTTGTACCGATGTTTGACAAATCTCACAAAACAATAGGTAGTATATAACGCATAAAAGGAAAGAATTAGGGTATTGCCTCGCGGATGTGAATTGCCTTCGTAGCCGAAGGGGTGTCGTATTTTATTCTCATTTTTTTTTTTAACATAAAAGCACGATGATTTTTACTTTTACGCGATCAGTACAGTTTATTAGCAGTAGGAAATAATTTTCAATTCTTTGAGTCGAAATTGCCACGAGAGCCCGAAGGCGAGGTTGGTAAAATCCTTTCCTAATTTATAACTAGACTTATTTTACGTGTACATAACGTGCCTATAGGTAGGTACATTAACAACAGAAGATACTATAGGTACCTACTCCATACAACTTATCGTACCTATAATACATACACACTTGTGCATATTCGTATCCGATAATAAAGGCTTAAGTTGTTTGAATTGAACGACAAATTACGGATATCAACGGTGAAATTAGTAGATGATAAATATACTACTATGTATGCACATGTATCAAAAGCTAATCATGCATTTCAGACAATTCAAAGTCGGGCAAATATTGTTGTTGTGCTACCAATGAGATTTCCATGTCGATCGGTTTTGAATCGTCATAAAGTGCTGGTGCTTCACACAAAATCGCGAATGTACCGGCTATGGAAGCAATTATAAAAATCCATAAGAAAAGTCGATCTAAAACCATTGCGACGAAACCCCAGTCTTGGTCTTCCTTAAAATGAATAAACAAATTTGCAACATTGATCGTGAATGTTTACTTTTTACATTTAGCTTTTAGCGTTTTTTGCTCAAACAAGAAAAAGCAAAGTAAATTTTTATAAAAGTTGATATAATGCGAACGGTTCGGCAAGAAAATTTACGACACAAATTAAATCGAAAACCTATTTGGAATAGATATAAACCTAAACCTATCTCGTATAATATGTAGGGTCACGGTATGGTATCATTGTATATTATATTAAAATGTTTTCACTTACTGCGTTAAATTGATCTTGCCTTTGAATATGGTGTTGAATGAACATAACGTTATGAATTGCTTTCTCCAATTCAAACGGGTACTTTTTTCTTGACGTTGAATCTGATTCGTCCAGTCCCGAAAAAACCGAAGGCAATCCGTTGTAACGCATCCTGTTACCAAACGAACTTGAAAAACCGCGCAGCCTTAATAAAAAAAAAAAAAATATATATATAAAAGCGTCTTGAGACTGAGAAATAATAAACTCGCTCACATACCTATTAGTAGCAGAGGTAGAAGAATATAAACCATTACATCCACTAATTCTATGCCTGGATGACGAAGATGACGACGAGGATGGAGAAGATAACGTTGATGGCAGTGTGTCAATTTCGTGTTTTTTAAACGTCTTCCCGATATTCATTTTGTTTGATGCGAGTTCCGTAAGGAGATCTTTGGGCACCCTCATTAGCAAAAGTTTGGGTACCGTTTTTATGAATATAGATCGAACCCAAGGTGCCATCTTGTGCGTACTCGGTTTTCGATAGTGTACGTTGAGTATAACAATCGTAATAACGACAGACAATCCCACCAAGATCATCGTGAAAAGGATATATTTGCCCAGAAGTGGCAAGGCGAGAGACGTAGAGGGAATTATTTCCGAAATGAGAAGGAAAAACATTGTCTGCGAAAGGAGGATGTTAATGCAAAGAGCTATCTTCTCTCCCGAATCGGCAGGAAGATAAAAGACGAGGACGGAAAGGTAAGATATACCTACACAGGGAACGATCAAGTTAACTGTGTAAAACAACGTTTTCCTGCGAAGAGTTACATTGAAGAAGATATCTACGAATAAAAAATAAAACCATCAAAAATGTTATAACCGAAAACAAGCAATTAATTATAGTCGAACCATACCTGGATACGGTTCTGCACAACATGGATAATATTTGGCATGCCTTTCTGCCGGTACCGATAATATATCCCATTCCACGCTTGGGTAGTATTCCTTTAGATCTATTCCTACAGCCACCTTGTCTCCAGCTCCTTCTTGATTAATGTGTTTGAGATCGATCTAGAAATGATTTATTTTTTGCACTTGCTTATTCAAATGGAAGTAGGTATCGGTTATAAGTACGTATATACAGAGTTCAGAGCTACCGAGTGAGTTTTAAATAACATGTGGGAGTGTCCTAATTTTGTTCCCATCGGAGTTGATAAGTGTACCCAGGTACCTAGGTACTTGATTCGGAAGTTTATTGAAGTATAAAAATAATAATTATTCATGGTTTAAAATCATAGGCTCTGTGCTATTCCATCTCGGGAAAGTGCCACACGAGTACATACTATATAATACATATGTACACAGTACACAGTACCCCGAATCTGTTTAAAATGAATCTAAGAAAATAGAAATTATTGTTGGCGTCTACAACTCACGTCAATGCGAATTTCGGGATTTTCAAAAACATTTTGACTGTTTCAATATATCGGCGAGCTCGCTCCCCCAACAAAACTTAACATGGACTCTATTCGGGACTAGCGGATGCCAATTGGCTACATAGGTACTGTAGTTTACTTACCTTATTGCCGTCGTAAGTCCAAGAACCGAATTTCATGAAGCAAGTCTGTTGATCGAAAGGAAAATACCTCACGTCAATTTCGCAGGAGGATTTAAAGATCGCGGGGGGAGTCCACGTCACTCTTCCGGAATAGTGTAAAACAGCCTTCGTCATTGTTGTTACAACGTATTCCCCGTCAGCGCTAAAAAAACCGATGTACTTAACAAAAGAATAAAAGTTTGACAATTATTTATTAACACACTTATTGTACAAAACGATGTCAGGTAGCCAGATATGTTCTGATGGCACATACAGTTCGGTGACACCGCCATATTCGCCAGGATCCCACTTGAATTTGTGATCTTGCCATTCCTGGAATTAGTTACTACATAAATTACTTAGGTACTCGTCTTACCGCAATTAACTAAATGCACAAGCGATTTAACAAATAAAAGGAAAAGAAATCGCATAATCTTACGTGTTCCATCCACACATTCACGGTCAAGATTTGGTCTTTTAGATTCTGGAAGGGAAACAAAATTAATTTTTGTTCTTGATAGACTATAAATAAAGTATCTTAGGAGGATTAGGTACATACGTCGGTAGTCATATTTGCAATTTGTCTTTTCTTATAAAAATACAATGGATACTTACAAGTTCTATGAGTTGTGACAATCTCAGGCCAAGTTTGACCAAAACAGTATCAGTATTATTGCTTACAGGTCTAATTAACCTGTTGTAATTACTCAGTAAATCGTCATAGAGCCTCTTCGCGTCGGGGTTACACAGAACAACACACGCGTGACAAAATAATAGTAACAATACACAATCGTATGCCATTTTACCGTACCTACTTAAAAATACGTTTTATCCCTTTTAAAAAACCAATCAGCTACGTAATGTTCAAAATTAAAATTCGGTCGCGTATCCAAACAGAAATAGTGGAGTATAAAGTTGTTCCTGAGGGATTCCGGATCGATAGGGGACGCGCATGCTCGCACCAGCTGCAATAAAGTCGGGACATCTTGAAATAATTTTTAGGATAAAGAAACCGCAAATTTCCTTCTTACAAATAGGTACTTTTACTTATTGCGTTCGAGGTATTTAATGTTTTCATGTGTAAAGTGTTTGCGCTTATTGTAATATTTTCATGTAGAATTAAAGTTAGTTTTTAACTCTTCTCGCCGTAACAATAGTTTCACTTATATGATATGAATTGTATTAAACTTAGTGTATCTACTAGACGTTTCAGTAACTCGAAATATCATACGTATCTTATCCAAAAAATTTAACAAAAATATGTTGCTCGTACAACAACGGTAACGAACAATCGATATTATAATAGATAAGTATAGATCGATATTAGCTTTGTAATGACCCGACCGTTGGAAGCCCCTTCTAAAACTGCTAAGCATTTTTGTTAATTCGATTCTTGAGCAAAGGGTTGAATATAAAGTGACAAAAGTTGATGCAAAAAGCAAAAATTAATATTAATGATTTCGAATCGATCTGCATAGTGTTCGGTGTTCAGGTTTCGATTGTGTGCAAATCAATCTACAAAATTGTCGACTCATTTTCGAACAATTAGGATACAGCTCCTTTGACGAATGAGGAAAGACCCTACTATTAGAAGTGAAAAAAGAATTAGCACCTGTGAATGAATATATGTACTCCGTTTAGATACTTAGGTACCTGTATGTATTGTACACATATAAGTACCTACATATATGAATTATTTACACTCCATACTTACAAAAATTTTTCTGAGCGACTTCCGTGTAATGAGATTTCGAAAAGTGAGGTCGTTATATTTACTATATTTCCATATAATCTATGCGCCCTGATGTATCTTTATATATAATATATATAATTCAAACTTCTGAGGCTATTTACATTACATTCTAAATAGTTTTCTTTTCCCCATCCTTCATGCGACATCCATAAAACCATTTCAAAAAAATACGACAAAAACTGTACCGTGCTTATTGCCCTACCCCATACTAAATCTATTACATAAAAAAAAGATTTTTTCCTTTTTACTTACACCTTGCAGTTTTTTTTTTGCCTAACTATTCTTATCTACTCCCATTTTCCGCTTTCTTTTCTTTAGAATTTCTAAATATTGTCAGTCCCTAATTATTGTCGTTTATCAATTCTCTACATTCTTCCCTTGCATTATCTTTTTCTACAGCCTTTTCTAGAACATTTCATAACGTCTCAATTTCTTTTCCACATACTCTGCATTTTGTCCTCTTTACCTTCAGTTGTTCCTGACTTCATCTCTCTTAAGGCTTTCTCTTTCTCTTCTCTTTATTATATTTGTTCTCTATACCGATTCTCAATACTTTTTTCTTCTTCTACATTTTGTTTCTCTTCTTACAATATAACCAGGTATACTTTTTTGCAAGTTTAAAATTCATTTTATATGTTTTCTACTCTTTCCGTTCCCATAAAATACTAAACATTTGATTATTAAATTAAATAATTTCATTCTTCGGTCCTAATACAATTTACCATTTAAAAGAAAGAATTGATAAGCAGAAACACAAAAAAACTTGGATAGTCGTTTCGGTTAAAACGCGAGTCATCATACTGTACAAATATTTATTTAAAAAGTGGCGCTATTAGTTTAATATTAAAATACCTATTAGAGAGATTCTGGTTCTATTTTCCAATTAATTTTAATTTTGTTACGGTTTAAAGCAATTTACATAGGTACCCCATAAGATTGCATTGCGGTTAATTAAACAGGCGTAAATTTAAATAATTATTGTGAAGGTGACAAAAGCCATGTTATATGGAAAATTATATGCTAAACAATTATCATATTTGGAGTCAGCAGTCGTGATTTACGTAAGATATCTTAACAAAAGCTTATTGAAGCTATTAATGGATTTAAAAAAATAATGGCACCGACGTATAGTACGCATCTCTGTAGATCAATAATTAAAACTTCTGCTATTTAGAGTTTCTAAGTAATTTTATGTAAACGTATAAACATAGACAAACCATCACAACATGTTTTAATTCGAAAACTATTTTATTAACAGGCGTTGCGTTTTTTACATACTGCTTTACAACTATTTCAGCTTGTTAACAATTAGCGACAACCGTTTAAGTAATTCGTGACCCTCGTCAGTTATCGGCCAATTATTTAGCTAGAAGCTTTCTAAATGAAAATTACTTAGCACCTCGTCAAATTTAGCTGAAGTATACGCTAATAACTTTGGCAAATATTAGTCGCTGTAAGATACACCACACATACCTTTGTAAATTAAAATTTACATTTCAAAAGCAAATGAAATAATCAAGTCAAAATGTATTATCGTCACATTAAGTTTTAAATCCTCCCTCCACCATATTATTAATAATTACAAATTGGATTAAAATACGCAGGAATTTTTTGTAGCTCTTTATTTTCATAAGTATAGATTTACAAAAAATACCACGAGCAATTAAAATCTAATAAAAATAATAACGAATCCTTTTACAGTATTTTATTTTCTTAACTGCATACACAAACCTTTCTTCGTTTTTGTCGATCAATGCAATCAGTCAAAGTCATTTTAATAAATCATAAACATTATCTATTCTACATACAGTCGAATTCATCCAGTCATCTCGAAAAAATATCAAATTAACTTTCCCAATTGACTAAACCAACGGATAACTGCAACGAAACAGAGGTCACTAAAACTAAATGAAATTTTAAAATAGTGTTTTACAAACTATCCATCTATATGTATATGCCTATGTGCATGTGAATATAGGAGATATGATCTATGCCTTGTCTATGTTAAATTATATAAGTAAAACTAGAAAACTTAAATTAATATGGTCGGGGTCTATTGGATGGTGGTCCATCGCTGAAAAAAAAAATATCAAATGAAAATATTAATCATCTTGCGATTGCAAGCAAATTACTTACCGACCACCCCCACGTCCACCTCCGAAACCCCCGCCTCGTCTAGGTGGTCCTCCACCGCCTCTACCACCACCCATGGGAGGTCTGCCACCTCCAGGTCTTCCTCCTCCCGGTCTACCTCCATTCCCACGATCATCTCGAAAACCACCGCCACTTCTTCGATCTCCTCCGCGATCCGGACCGCCTCCACGTCTTCCACCACTACTTTCGATTAAGGCTCCTTCGGGCTTCGGTGCTCCACACCTATTACACTCCTTACGCCATGCGAAGTTAGTGTTACTGCAATCTCCGTTCGGACACCGCCAATCACCCTCACGAGTTTCTCGATCACGACCACCACCACCTATGCAGATACAACATACCAATAATTTATTTATTTGAAAAAAAAAAATACATTATACTTGTATCGTATAAAATCTAAGACAAACGATAACTATATAATTATTTTTAAAATATTATTACATGCAAACAATAAAAAAGAGTAAATATCAAAGAAATGTTGAAGTGTTTCCCCCGACAGGATACACACGTTAAAATGAAAATAAAGTAACGTGTGCGTTTAATAGGGAACTTGCTATACCCCTCATTGCAAAAAAAAACCGGAAACAACACTAAAGTTGCTGAAACCTGTTATGAGTATTGGGGTGAAATGTCGTATTAAGTACCTTTTGTAAAGAAACAAAGCAAAAGTCTCACTTTTATTTAATGTTTCATACCGCTTTATTTTATTTTTTTTATTAATTAGAGACAGCTTTAAATAAAATGGAAGCGGTATTGACAAAACAGTATTTCATGAAAATAAATAAAAGCAAAACAAACATACTGGTATGTAAGGGAATAAAATACAGGGAAACATCAAATATAAAGATAGAAGACAAAAAATTAGAAGTGGCTGATTTTAGCTATCTAGGAAGTCAGATAATTCAGGACGGAAGGAGTAGTAGAGATGTAAAGCAAAGAACAGTGCACGGTCGAGTCGCTTTCAACAAATAGAAGTCACTTCTATGTGAGCGAAGGGTTAATTTAGAAATTCGAAAAAGATTGTTAAAGGTGTATGTTTAGAGCGCGGCGCTGTACGGGTGAGTGAATGTTAGAAATGAAGACGTATTAGAAAGAATGGGAGAACAGAGGACTCTATTGAATAAGAAATATGCGTGATAGGTTGGTAGGACTCCTTCTCAAGCATGAAGGTCTAGACAGAGACATATTAGAGACAGAAACAGGAATTAAGGGGAGTACAAGTAGGCCTATACTAAATTACTGTTCACAAATAGTTAAGGATGTGGAATGTTCTAGTTTTAGGGAAATGCGAAGATTAACTTAGGATAAGGCGTGGAGGTGCGTGTCCAACCAGACTGACGACCTTATGATGATAATGATACCAATTGCAATAAATGTAACAAAAACATTCCGGAAACCAATTTTATTATCTTCAGTGATATTCTGAACAAACAGTTATACACAAAAACAAACAAAAGAATAAGAAAGGACTCACCTCCTCGGTCTCCACGATCCCCACCACCTCGGCCGCCACTCGGCCCCCCGCGACCTCTAAAACCTCCACCTCCACCACTACCACCACCTCCCGGTCCACCTCGTCTACCGCCACCTCCTCCACTGCCACTCCACGTGTCTTTTTTTGTTGCCAGTTGCACCTTGATAGTAAATCCTTTAAAGTCTTTTCCATCGAACCAGCTTATAGCCGACTGCGCAGCATTCGCATCATCGTAGGTCACTGTCGCTTCGCCTTTAGGTAAACCAGTCAATTTATCTTTGTACATCCAAATCTTCAACTTCTGCGACCTTTTATCCGTCTGTAACAATTACAATAAGTCTGAGTTGACTTATTTTTAATTAGTAATGCAAATAATAAATGCATATGTATGTATATGTACAGTGCCTTCATAAATGATCGAGAGCCATGTGACATTTTTTGTAACCACAGTGTATTTGTTAATTTGAGGCTGGAACTCCGAATCTGGATACTAATTAGCATAGACATAGAGAATGGACTGAGTAATACCCTTAGGAAATTGATCACTCTTTAGAAAGAGAGAAAAGGACCATGCGACCAATACCTGTCCCTTTCCCTCTTTCTTCCGCTCTTGCAAGACTGTGACGTGACCAATCAAAATTCTAGCTCTCGGTCATTTATGAATGCAGTGTATATATTGAGCCTTTTAATTTATTTCCTATTACAATCTCTCGTTTTCTATTTCTATTCTGCAGTACAATTATTGTAACAGGCTATATAAACAACTTGTAAACTGATACTTTGCAACAAAGTTGTGAATAGAAGTCTGTTTTATGTATATATTTAATTTAGCAGAACGTCAAAATTAGCCTTGGACATTTATATATCCAAGAATAGAGTGCTGTCTGCATCGAATGTCCTCCAGCAATAATTACATAAATCACGTTAAAACTCACCTTAATTACGCCAATTGCTCCAAAATGTTGAGCAATGTCATCCTCCGTTGACTCTGGATTCATACCAGATACAAATATAGTGTCTTCCTGTACAATCATGTTGTCACCTCCTACAAAAATTGAACCAATTGACTAATCGATCATTTCAACCAACATAAAATATTAATAATACATACTTTTTAAATCGTTTATTTCAAATATAAATTTNTGGATTCATACCAGATACAAATATAGTGTCTTCCTGTACAATCATGTTGTCACCTCCTACAAAAATTGAACCAATTGACTAATCGATCATTTCAACCAACATAAAATATTAATAATACATACTTTTTAAATCGTTTATTTCAAATATAAATTTTTAGACGAATCCTTAAATATATTAACCAATTATTTGTTTAGTCTTTTATAAAACCTTTTTAAAAACCGTAGACCAACAATTTTCTCTTTTCTCATTACCTCTAACGTCCTTTTTGCATTTTTATAAGCAAAATACCAATATTAAAGTTTTTTAAATTTAATTACGTACATATTTACATCTAATGCTTACATAGGTTGACAATTAAATTTCGTGTCTATTGTAATTTACTTATGTATGCATTACTACTGCAAAATATTCAACCTATTAACACAACCTAATCAAAAACAACAGAACAAACTTTTCAATTAGTTTCTTTTCGTTAAAAAACTATTATAAAGTAAACAACCATACAAATGATTAAATGAAAGAGCTGACCTAGGACATTTGTAATATGATTTTTTAGTTCTTGAAGTACGCACAGATATTCTATTTCCCATAGGACGTCTACAATCTTAGAACTAATGTTACCACCAAGAACTAAATAATCAAAATAAAAACCACATGTTTTGCCATCGTATTTCTTCGAGTAGACTATGTAATACATTAATAAGATCATACTTCTACCACTTTTTACAACCAGCAACATGGTATCCACGCCCTATTTATTCGTAATCAGTTCCTCTCTTGTAAACCAATTAATTTAACTAATAATACGTTTCCAATTGGTCATACAATTCATCCGATAGGTAATATGTATAATTAATTTACCACTTGCACCAACAACGGCATTTATATAAAACCGTTTTTTTGATAATTTCGAAAACATAGTAAAACACTGACTGAATAGACAAATCAGGCTAGCAATCAGGTTTTTAATTGAATACTTGCCATTAGAAAACGATTTAATACTTTAATTTCTTAGTAAAATTATTGTAACCACTTACAAAATACGACAAAAGGAATTAACCATTTTATGTTTTAATGAGGACGTTATAAACATAGACCCAATTGTGTTCAGACAGATTAACTGATCGCTGCCAATAAATTATGCAAAAAACGCAAGACAGCTCTTTCATAAAAACAATGTTTAAACAATACCAAATAAATCAAAAATGAAAATGCACCAAGTCGTTGCAACCTGGTGCTTTTACCTTTGTTAAATGAACCTCTGTTGGAGCCACTAAAACAGAAGGTATTTCATCAGTAGTTGTTGCAGCAACAAGACAATCAGAGACAGATTCAGATTGACGGCAATCGATCGAGGGGGAGATCGGGGAGACAAGACGTACGAAACACACACGCCCCGTGTTTTATATGTAACCTCTTCTAACGTTGCCTTCCGTTAAATAAAATTCTTGTTTTTTGTCAAAATGTTAAGTTCAGTCAAGTCAGTTGCATCTTCAGTCATAAAATTTTGAAAAAAAGTTGCACAATCCAATTTCTAAGTTTTTCCGGAAATAATACTTTTGTTATCGCCACCTTCAGTATCACCCATGAAAAAACTTTTTCGAAACAGAAAAAAATTAACATGTACCATACTCGTATCTTACTCCAACAGTATGAGACATCATTAATAAAGTTAAATCACAAGACAAAAACTGTTTTAAAGGGGCACCTTTTTTACTTAATCTTTTTTGTAACCTAATGGAAACATTTCTTAATAAGGAACCTTTATACTCTTAACCTTTGTTTGTTTTTCCATTTATTAATTATACTACAAATCCATTAAAAATAAATTATATTCTACCGTTAATCATTTTCTTTGTCATTACAGATGGTAAAATATTCAACCTCTAATAAAAAAAAACATCACTACTTCGTACGTCAGTGTCCAATATTACCTTTTCAAACCCCTACTTTTTTCAAATTCACCTGTTGAAAACCTTTGAAGAACTACATTACTAAATTTTCAATTACCAGATCAATTTCAAACTTTAAAAAAAATTATCAGCTTCGGTAACAGCTCACATATAACCATAACCTCTTTTTGTATAAAAACAAGAAATTGAGCACTAGTATAATGGTATTACAAATGTATTAAGGTGATATCTCATCTCATCACATTTATGTTTCTTACATTTGTAAAAAAAACCAAACAAAGAACTAGCAATACTTCTGTTCAAAAAAAAAAAAAAACTGGAATGGTATTCTTTATAACAGAACTATTTGATCTTTAATGCATTTAATATTTCTTATTTTCAATGCATGTTTCAACCTTAGCTTAACTGAAATAAAAAATAACTTACCCATATCCTCCACCACCTCCCCTGGGACCTCTGTCATCACGTCCAAGATAACTTCGACCTGGGCCTCCTCCACCACCACCCCCTGCTGTTAACAGTGTATATTTAATATAAAACACATAATGCATACTAAAATACCCATGTATAAAAAAATACTTACCATATCCACTACTTCCTCTGTCTCCTCCACCTCCATAACCTCCTCCGCTTCCGCTTCCACCGTAACTATCATAATCTCCTGAACCACCCCAGCTTTGGGTTGGACCTCCTATCAAAAAGTAAACCATAATTTATCATTACATTATGAAAATAAAACATCTAATAATACTAATATAAACATCCCAAACAACTGTATGGAAAAATTCTTCCCCTAAATTTTGAATAAATAAAGGGACTATCAATTTCCATTTAATTTATGACATTGTAGGAGGTAATCAGCTTTTTATCAAGAAATCTGATCCATGCCAATGTCAATATATCACAATCTTCCATATTGAAAAATAAAGTAAATTAATCATAATCAAGAACAGAACCATCCTTTACAATATTAAGTTACCTTGGGCACCACCATAGCCTCTAGAGCCTTGATTCCAAGAACCACCGCCACCTTGGTTTTGTCCATAATCACCACCTCCTGAACCGTAACCATCTCCAGAACCGCCATATCCGCCCATTCCAGGAGGCGGTTGGGAATAATCTCCGTAGCCCGAGCCACCGTATTCTACCAAACAAATTTTTAATTTTGTTTAATCACATATTATAGTAAATAAATTTCAACTTAACGGCTTTTTTCAGAAAAGAATGGCTGTTAATTCACTGCTTTTGATGTCAATACGAGTTATATTGCGAAAATGATACGAGATATTTTTATAAGTTCAAAATAACAAAAAATATAATGAAATAAATCAAGGATTAGTTAGATAACATGTGATTAACTTACGTGTATCAGGCATTTTTAACTTTACAAGGTGCAAAGCAAACAGCAATAAACGAACGTTTTACAATGCAGTGACAACCACAGACAAGACAAGACAACTGTAAAGTGACATAGGTAAAGTGAGTTGGAATCATAGACATACATCATAGATAAGAGATAAATAGTAGTTGAAGTTAGTCCTGTGAACCAGCACTTCATATAAATATGATATAAATAATCCTCCGACAAACTTTACAAATAAATTGTGCGATGTTTGTGGGTTCTAAATATGTAAGTATCCTAATTGTGCGTCCATTAATTCTTTTTAAATAAGGAAAATTGTTTTGGGTGCAGGTGGAAATTAAATATCAATTTATTTAAAAACTATTAAAGATATGAAAATTTAATTGACGCCAAAAGATTTCGCGTCCTTTGTGCTTGGATATTGACTATTATGGCAAGCAACGTTTATTTTAATATTACTTATTACTAATGATTACAAATAATACTTTATTTTTCAATGGTATTACCACGCATTACTATGGTCATATCGTCATATTATTATCTATGATTCACGAATGGTGCACCCGTTTAGTATTATCAATAAAAAATTAGTATTTTACGTAATTATTACTAAAAATATTTGGTTAGTTTTCAAATATAAATGACGCGCAAACGGTTGACATCACTTAAGTTATGATATCTTCAGTAGTTTTTGAATAAATCAACACTGAATTTCCACCTGCACTTAAAACAATTTTCCTTTTTTCTAAAAAAATTAATGAACGCACAATTGCGCTACTTATATATTTAGAACACACAAACGCCGCACAATTTATTGGTGAAGTTTGAATCAGTGTATTATTTATATCCGATGCCAGTTCACACGACTTTACTGTGACATGTCGGACGTACATGTCTGTATCTAAGTGCACACTGACGCTACGTCCCCATTTTATGGTTTTGCAGTTTTACATTATTTTGTTCTTGCTATTGGTTTCGTTTTAATTTTTCATGTCTTGTTTATTAATTGTGCAGCTAATTCTTCTATGTCATCTTTTTGTTTTCTTTAAACAACAGAATGAAATTAATTAACTGAATTATGTATACGTATACAAAGTACACANCTTACAATATAACCAGGTATACTTTTTTGCAAGTTTAAAATTCATTTTATATGTTTTCTACTCTTTCCGTTCCCATAAAATACTAAACATTTGATGATTAAATTAAATAATTTCATTCTTCGGTCCTAATACAATTTACCATTTAAAAGAAAGAATTGATAAGCAGAAACACAAAAAAACTTGGATAGTCGTTTCGGTTAAAACGCGAGTCATCATACTGTACAAATATTTATTTAAAAAGTGGCGCTATTAGTTTAATATTAAAATACCTATTAGAGAGATTCTGGTTCTATTTTCCAATTAATTTTAATTTTGTTACGGTTTAAAGCAATTTACATAGGTACCCCATAAGATTGCATTGCGGTTAATTAAACAGGCGTAAATTTAAATAATTATTGTGAAGGTGACAAAAGCCATGTTATATGGAAAATTATATGCTAAACAATTATCATATTTGGAGTCAGCAGTCGTGATTTACGTAAGATATCTTAACAAAAGCTTATTGAAGCTATTAATGGATTTAAAAAAATAATGGCACCGACGTATAGTACGCATCTCTGTAGATCAATAATTAAAACTTCTGCTATTTAGAGTTTCTAAGTAATTTTATGTAAACGTATAAACATAGACAAACCATCACAACATGTTTTAATTCGAAAACTATTTTATTAACAGGCGTTGCGTTTTTTACATACTGCTTTACAACTATTTCAGCTTGTTAACAATTAGCGACAACCGTTTAAGTAATTCGTGACCCTCGTCAGTTATCGGCCAATTATTTAGCTAGAAGCTTTCTAAATGAAAATTACTTAGCACCTCGTCAAATTTAGCTGAAGTATACGCTAATAACTTTGGCAAATATTAGTCGCTGTAAGATACACCACACATACCTTTGTAAATTAAAATTTACATTTCAAAAGCAAATGAAATAATCAAGTCAAAATGTATTATCGTCACATTAAGTTTTAAATCCTCCCTCCACCATATTATTAATAATTACAAATTGGATTAAAATACGCAGGAATTTTTTGTAGCTCTTTATTTTCATAAGTATAGATTTACAAAAAATACCACGAGCAATTAAAATCTAATAAAAATAATAACGAATCCTTTTACAGTATTTTATTTTCTTAACTGCATACACAAACCTTTCTTCGTTTTTGTCGATCAATGCAATCAGTCAAAGTCATTTTAATAAATCATAAACATTATCTATTCTACATACAGTCGAATTCATCCAGTCATCTCGAAAAAATATCAAATTAACTTTCCCAATTGACTAAACCAACGGATAACTGCAACGAAACAGAGGTCACTAAAACTAAATGAAATTTTAAAATAGTGTTTTACAAACTATCCATCTATATGTATATGCCTATGTGCATGTGAATATAGGAGATATGATCTATGCCTTGTCTATGTTAAATTATATAAGTAAAACTAGAAAACTTAAATTAATATGGTCGGGGTCTATTGGATGGTGGTCCATCGCTGAAAAAAAAAATATCAAATGAAAATATTAATCATCTTGCGATTGCAAGCAAATTACTTACCGACCACCCCCACGTCCACCTCCGAAACCCCCGCCTCGTCTAGGTGGTCCTCCACCGCCTCTACCACCACCCATGGGAGGTCTGCCACCTCCAGGTCTTCCTCCTCCCGGTCTACCTCCATTCCCACGATCATCTCGAAAACCACCGCCACTTCTTCGATCTCCTCCGCGATCCGGACCGCCTCCACGTCTTCCACCACTACTTTCGATTAAGGCTCCTTCGGGCTTCGGTGCTCCACACCTATTACACTCCTTACGCCATGCGAAGTTAGTGTTACTGCAATCTCCGTTCGGACACCGCCAATCACCCTCACGAGTTTCTCGATCACGACCACCACCACCTATGCAGATACAACATACCAATAATTTATTTATTTGAAAAAAAAAAATACATTATACTTGTATCGTATAAAATCTAAGACAAACGATAACTATATAATTATTTTTAAAATATTATTACATGCAAACAATAAAAAAGAGTAAATATCAAAGAAATGTTGAAGTGTTTCCCCCGACAGG